CATTTTAAACATGTTAGGCACCAGTAAAATATCCACAGGGCAAGGGTAAAGAGGACTCCTAAAATCTGAAGTTTGGATTTCAAAAGAAAATAAATGGACAAAGTGCTATACACATATGGGTGGTTGCTTTAACACACAAACAAACACACACACACACGTACAGTATTGACTAAATCATCCAAATAGTAGAGGGCCAATAATATGACCTTGGGAACAACCTATATTTAAGGCACAAAGGAAAGAAACATATTTGAGGGGGGAAATGAAGATGGATCAGCAAGGAGAACCAAGAAACTACATTTTCTGGTGTGAAGAATTGTGAGCCTATGCTTTTACACTATCATGAATAATACAGAAGACAAGAGACTCCTGAGTCAGACAAAGGACTTTATTATTCCTGGCACAGCAAGCAGCCTGAGTATCAACATATCTGATTCAGTTCCTTTTGCCCCCAAGTCCACAGAGGAGACAATAAAGATGTATCTAGATGGATACCTGCACATGAAGTGAAACGCATTATAAGAGATGAACCCTGAATTGAGGCACCAAATCTTTTATAAGGGGCAGTAAGTACGCCTGCCATTTTGCCTCCAGAGGGACACTAGATCTGTCTTCCAAGATGGTTCACTATACAAACATCCTTAAAAAAGATAGTCCAGAATGAAGAGCTGTCAATGACTCCATTCCCAAGATATGTAAAACCTCAAGACATATAAGAGTTATCTCTCAACACCTGTAGGCCAAGAGAGACTAATGTTTCAACAGAAAGGGTACAGTCATACACAAATGCCAAGAAACGTAAGATAACAATAAATTTTGTCAGGTATATTAAGGACTGATATATTATTTCATGTCACTTATAAGACTGAAACCAGACCAAGGAATGGAAATTACAGGCCAAAAGAGGATCTGGTAGTAACCAGACTTGTCTAACAATGAAAGATACTAGTAGATATTCTCTCCAATGGTAGATACATATGTAAGTAAGAGGAGGAAGAAGCACAGGGAGAGAAAGGGGAAGGCAGTTAATAAGTATTAAGTGCTTACTATTTATCTGTGAGATACTTTCATACCCTTGACCATCTGTCACTAATGTTCATTTATTCATTCATTCAACAAATGATTTTTCAAATATTCCCTACGTGTCAGGCAATGTTAGGCCCTGGAGATAAAAGAAGGAATCAGTGACTAACCCTGTGTTCACAGAATTCACTGTCAAGTGGTGAAGACAGCATTCAAATTACACAACTACATAAATACATACTGTCATTAAGTGCTATGAAAGAAACATACAGTGAACTAGGAAAACAAATGTAACAGAAATACTTAATCCAATTGTGAGTGGGGGAGCAGCATCAAGAAAAGGCTTAATTGAAGATATGGTAGTTGAACAAAGATCTTAAGACTAAGCTGGAATTAAACAAGTATGAGGGGAAAGGGTAAGAACAGTTGTAAGAATCCCAGACCAAAAAAAAAACCAAAAAAAAACAGTAGATACAAAAGCATAACCACCACTGGGAAACTGAAAGAAGGCCAAGAAGATCTGCAGCACACAGAGAGGGGGACACGCTGAAAGGACTCCTAACACTGGCATAGAAATGGAAACGGGTGGCCTCGAAGTTCCTTGGATTCTAAGTTTGTAGTACTTAGTGATCATTTTATAGTCCTAAATAGCAGACACCTCAAAATTTATTTACACATTAATACCAGGATTAACAAAGACTAAGGACTTTTTAACAAGTCGACTCTGTTGTAATAATAGGCAAAATACAGCATACAAAGAAAGGCTAAAGTTCATATGTAAAAGATAAAGGAAGAAAACTGTTTAGAACCCATTTTAAAGTATTTTACACACATCAATTATAGTCACCAAGTGCTTCTACCTCTGAAGGAGCCAAAGAGGCATCTAGTATCTACAAATATAAGAAAAGAAGCACCTCTAAATGGTTCCCATGAATAAAAGCAATGAATAGAGACCATGGGCTAGAACACTGGACTCCCACAAAAGCCTTCAGCTACTTCACCGTAATCAGAGCCAGTCAAGGAAAGAATCTGATCAAGGGGAAGAGGAAAAAGTGCAAAGGGAGTTGCTAAAACTTCAAAGACAAAGCAATTCTGTGACATGGAAGTGTGGCTCTTTAGATAGTGCATAACATGAAGTAAGAAAGGAGATCCTCAAAGGTAAGAACTTACAAGGCTTGAGGTGGGGGAGGTATTGGGGAGGGCACGTTAGCGATATGGATTCTAAGACTAAAAGGCAAAATGATAAATACCCTAGTACAGTGGGAAATGTTACATGGTTAGGTGACCCAGGTTCAAGTTCAGAGTCTGACTTCTTAAACAGTTAGGACAGTTTCTGGGCATCTATTTCCTCCTCTGTAAGACAGAATATAATTTGCTGTGCTGAAAAGTCTTGTTTTATAATCAAAGAAAATAATTTACATGAAAGTGATTTTTAAATTGTAAAATCCTATTTTTATAATGAGTTTTACTAACACTAATAATATTTCTTTCAGTAAAGTAATACCTCATTCCCATTAATAAAGCTGTCCATTCCCTCACATTCTGAAGAGTCAAAAAATTCTCTCTTTATCCTAACTGAGCTTCTCTCAAAACTCACTTCCTAATATAATATACACAACATTTTCTGGTCCCTATTTTTAATATCCCACCTTCAATTTGGGGGCATACGCACAAAGGCAGCTATCTTCCACAAATCATGCCATGATAAACAGAAGCCAGTCCGAAAGATCACCAAAGTCCTCTAAAATACACAAATTGCCTCAAATCACTTAGCTGATCACTTACTACTCTGCATTCAAATACCTCTCATTCAAATACTATAAACCCATGGGGAAAGGTCATTAACAACCTCACTTGGACATCTGTCTGTCTGTGAAAAAGACATCAGGGATTACTTGTGCTTCCCTTTAATTGTTATCTACATGAGTTTCACTACCCAGCATCTTTTTAAAAAGTAAATAAAAATCAGGAAAGACTCATTCTGTGTCATTTCCCTTAGGTGTTCTAGCCTCAAAAACAAAAGAAAAGCAAATGTAGTCATCACTTACTTGCTCATGCATTCACTATTTGGTTTGTTTGTTTTTTTTAATTTTATATCCACTCCTTTTTATTTGCTTCTCCTGCTCCTTTTTTTTTTTCATTTTTCAGTTTTATTAGGTAGAATTGTTAAAGTTTGACTAAATATTTATTGATAGCCACTCTATGTGGGATATTGTTCTAGACACCAAGAATACAGTAGTGGCCAAAAAAGACAAAAATTCCTGCCCTAATGAAGCATAAATTCTAATAGCAGAGGGGGAAAAAAATCAACAAGAGAAATCAGTAACATATACAGACTGTGATAAGTACTAAGAAAAACTTTAGAAGAGTGGGAAAGTAAAATGTGTCAGTGTTTGTGTGCATGTGCATATGTCAATGAGAGAAAAAAATTTTATATGCACTGGTCAGAAAAGCACGTGCTTGAAAGCATGATACATCAGTAAAGTCTTAAAAGATTGTTAACAAATTATTTCTTACTTAAGATGTATTCATTTACGATTTATTTATACCATCATTCAATATACATACACACAAAGACACACACACACTTCCCCAATTTAAATCTTATAGGAACATACGATCATCAATATTATTTTGAAATTGGCTTTAAAAAATAATACTTATGAGCTCTCTCATAACCATACCATAAATGCCTAAGCCATGAATGTGGGTGGCAGTTCCCAGGATAGATGGAAAATTTAAATTTAAAAATACTGTAAATAAAGTACGTGAATGTAGTTTAAGTAAAAACACATTACATTTTAGGAGTAAAACACATCCGAAGGATTATTTTCAAAGCACCAAATGTTTGATCACATTAAAATTTTACAAGCAAATCCATAAACATATTACTAAACATAACACTAATGTTGAAGATTAGGTGAATTCCCTTAATGGCAAGAAAAAATGTAAAACTTTACCCTAGAAACATCATAGGTATAATTTTTTTATAATAGTTACTTTTAGATCCATAGAAAAGGTTCAAAAAGCAAATATATTTCTGTGACCCTAGAAACGCATTTAAATTACAAAGAATAACATGAATATTATTATGAGAAAGATCAGATTATTATTTAAATAAGCTTGACTCATGTCATTCTGTGTATATGGCAAAACAAGAAACATAAAGTCCTGTCCAACTTAAGAGTATGCAATAGTGGGGAGGGTACAGCTCAAGTGGTAAAGCGCACACTTAGCATGCACAGGGTTCTGGGTTCAAGCCCCAGTACCGCCTCTAAAAATAAACAAACAAACCAACATATCTAATGCCAACCCCTCCCCCCCCAAAAAAGAGTATGCAATAGATTCAAATAAGCTTAGTCCCTCCCTAGGTATCAAAATTCTAACCAGATTGTCAGGTCATTTAAATAATACTTTAATGACTTGATGATTTGAAAACAAAACCTACTGAAAACTACCATATGGACAATTATATAAAGGATTTTCCCAAACAACATATGTTAAAAACTTGATTAAATAGGCATTAACAAAAGCATGATATTTATTTAACCACCAATCCCTTCTCCCTAAAACAGGGATAAGCAAACCACATAGGCTAAATCCAGCCCAACTCCTGCTTTATGAATAAAGTTTTATTGGAACACAGTCATATCTGTTCATCTACATATTGTCTCTGGCTATTTTTGTGCTATAACAGGAGAACTGAATAGCTGAGACCTAAGGCCCATAAAGCCTAAAATTAAAATGTGAGTTATCTGGCCCTTTAGTAAAATGTTTACCAGCTCCTGCCTTAGAAGATGGGTAAAATCTTTTATCTACAGGCACAGTCTTAGGTCATGGCCTCATTCTCCAATTTTTTTTCCTTAGAGATCCATACGCATTCTCATCAGAATGAACACTTTTTTTTTAAGGAGTGTTGTCTTTAAAAGCCCTGCTGAAAAAGAAAATGCAAAATAAATGAATAATGATGTCCTTACCGGAACTGTGGCAGTAGTCCATATACTGCGGAACTTGGACTGTGAAGGCTATCAGATCTGGAGCTAAGAGAGATTCTGGCTTTCTACTCTCATTGAGCCACTTGCTGCTATGAAGGTCTTTAGTGTCAGAAGGACCCTGAAGCAATGGAATTAATTTCTCTTTTCCACTGTCACCTGAGGAGAAATATTTATGAAAAAGAAATTCATCAAATAAAATTATAAGAACAGCCTGTAGATGCCTGATCTTAAAATTTACTAACATCATAATTAAAATTTCAATTTCCATTTGGTAATTTTAGCTGTATATTTAGTTATACTCTAAAAAGTATGATAAAATTAAAAGCACTTTTAACTCTTAAAAGATTGTTTTAATACTTAGCTAATGAATGTAGAACATATTCAGAAAAGATTTAAAATAAAACAACATGAACATACTGTATACTAAATATTCAGTGGAATCTGTATCACTTTAAACATATCTAGAAATTTAGTTTGCACTGGAAAAAATTAAATTACAAATAGTTTAAGGAAAATATTATGAAATAAAGTACTGGTAAGAAGGTGAAGTCAATTACAACCTTAAATTGAAAAACAGCTGGGTTTTCTGCTTAATTTTATTACACTAACAACATTTTAATTCAATTTCTGTGTCATATATATGTAAACCTCCTATTTCCCCACTAAAAGTATAGGAATAAACTTTCTTTTAATTTTTCCTCCCTCATAACCACACCTAAAATTATGCAAAGATTTTTTTTTCCTTAAGTAAAAATTAATTTATTAAAGTCAAGAAGTATCATCCTGGCACAATTAACAATTTTTTTCAAGTAAAAATAAAAAAATTTAAAACCTCTGATTCATAGGAACAATGAGTAAATTCTTGTTTCAGTAACGCTCCTTGTAAAATGCAAGGCCAATTCTCCTATACAGGCAATAAAGTTTTACACGGTCCAGCTGCACATACCTGGGGCTTTGGCACAAATTTTTATTGATCCCATGGTCCCAGAGGCACATTTGACCAATGATGTGCTGCAGTACTTCAATTCAACATTCTGGATTGAGCCCTCAAGAGTTGGCAGGGGATTCTTAGATTTCACACCTAATAAAAGAAAACTGCAAATGTACTAGCCGATTGAATTTAAATAATTTTTATACTCCTTCACCAAGGCATTTAAACTTAATTATACTTTAATTATCTACCTCAGATGTTCTTACAGTATTTGTGTTAGGTTTCACAGTTTACTGTTTAGGAGGTAAAAAGATGCAATTTTAAAATAAATGGGCTGAACTCTCACAACTATATTTATACAAAGTTGGCTCTTAGTCAAGCTCAAGAGATAGAAGTAAATTTTAAACAAGTATTTGTTTAAAAATGAGGGGACTAAAAATCATATTTGATTTTGGAATATGGAATAAGATTTTAATTTGAAACAAAGTTAACTTACAAATTGAGCTTTATTTTGGCAGAGACGTTTAACTTAAATAGGAAACTTCCTAAGTAAACAGACTCCTCAAAATATCTTATTCAGATGGGGTGAAAAGAGAGAAACAAGACAGCTTGAAACAGCTCCTAGGTTAAAATACAATAGCTTATAAGCAAAACTGACATGCCATGTGTAGATAAAAGAAACCAAAGGGATACTATATCACTTGACAAAAAAGTGAATATGAACGTCTCTCCTGTCTGCTACTTGCTGAAGGACATAAAAGCACAGAAGGGAACAATTACCATGAAATAAATGGTACAGAAAACTTAATTCAAAAGGGAGAAACTCATTTTGGCCCTGAAGGGTAGGTGAGAATTAAAAAGGCAGAGAAACCTTAAGAATGTTATACTAACATTATTGCAAACCACTTAAATGATGATGAGGATACAAAGAACTCTAACTAACGTTTACTGAGGACTTACCATGTGCTATGCACACTATCTCATTCAGTTCTCACAACAGGACTGTAGTAAAGATGTTATTGTTATCCTCATTTTACAAATTAGGATATAATGGATTAGAGGAGTTAAGTAATTTTTGCTCAATCCTACAGCAGTAGAAGAGCTGGGGTGGTTAACACAACTTAGTCCCATCAATGAAAACCTCACCCATCATTTCACCCATGTGCATGAAGACTGGCTAACATAACTTCCCTACTTTCCCTCATTCCACATTTCAATCAAATATATATTATCCTTCATATTTGAAACTCCTTTAAGTAGAACTATGTATGAATAACTAAGAAAACTATAAATTTTATATGATACATATATTAAATGTTATTCTAAAATCTCTAATCTCAAACTCTGGTGTATTGAAAAAGCCCCACAGTCCTCCAAGAGGATTCCTGAGATGTGGCCCAGGAACCTGCAGTTTAGCTAATAAACTACATGGTTTGCAGATGGTTAAAGGACACCTTGAGTAACACCTTCTCACATACTAATCTTTACTTTAGAAGGATCTATTTATCAATTTCTATTTGATTGTTATATAAACATGTATCAATGGTTTATTTTTCCAGTATTTACCACCATGTTATTTCCATTTGCAGTGGTATCTATTATCCTCATAGCAAGAGTCTAAATGCTGTGTATTTACACATTTCCTATGATTTTCTCAAATTCTCAAAATTTATGACTCAAAAAACTTAAGCAGTATGTCACAAAATTAAATGATGCCAACAATACATATATAAACACAGCAGTAGTTACAACACCTAACATTCACTGACCACTTACTAAGTACCACGCACTATGCCTAGTTTGTTATTTTTATTCATCTCAAAAAAAAAAAAAAGAGGTAGCTATTTACTATTCCATTTCACATAACAGGAAAACCAAGGTTAAGAGAAATAAGGATTTTGCCCAGGCTCAAGTTAGACAGGACGGAGGCCTTCAACCAACACTTTTTTCCCCATTAGAAAAGAAGCTGGGCCACTATGTGTACTTAACATCTCACTGCGGATGCAGAAGTTATAATCAGCGGATAATTCAACCTGCTCCAATCATCATGTTATGTGATGAGAGGGATACAAAATGGAATAATACCTTCCTCTAGCTCTTAAGCCCCCAGAGTCAGACACTCATTCTACGCCAACTTTTTGAAAAATTTGAAGAATTTAGATAGTGATCAGCAGGCAAGAGCTACTGAAAGATTCTCTCAAGGGTTACTGGGGGTGTTAAGAACCAAAAGAAATGAATTAGTTTCTAGTAGATGCAAAAGGAAAGAAAGATAAATAGGCCAAAATGGCTTTTTAAGAAACACTTAACACTGCTTCTTTTTACCAAGTTTACGACTCTACCTTGAATCGCAAATGGTAGATCTTTGTTAAAACGTAATGTATGTTGTATATAAGACCTTGAGTGATTATGGTATGTCAGTGTAGGTTCATCAGTTGTAACAAATGTACCACTCTTGTGAGGGGGAAGCAACGCAGAAAGATATGGAGGCAGAAGGTACATGGAAAAATCTCGTACCTTTCCCTCAATTTCGCTGTGAACCAAAAACTGCTCTAAAGGGAAAAAAAAGTATTAATAAAAAAAAGAATTCTATTACAAACTTAATTTCTTTCCACTCTATCACCAAACCAAAATTTGTACAACACCCCAAACGTAATAAACACTAGGGAGGCAGAGAGGAGCAGTCTCAGCACTACACAACTCAGGACTACACAACCATTCACACTGTTCCCAACGGACATGAAGGCTGCTTCTGGAACTTGTGAAAGGAAATCTCCTGTTATCAGTGCAATATGGTGAAACAAAAAAGAGCAAGGTTTCAGATGCAGGCAGCGTTATGTATCAAATAGTTAGATGGCTTAAGGGAAGCCATCTATTATTATTACCTGTGGAGGCCAAAATACTAGAGTTATTGTTCAGAGTATCTAACTCTGAGAAATCAGCTGAATTTTATACATAATTTTGAACTTTGAACACAATTTAGGGAATAGGTGCGGACTTTTGGTAAGATGTATAGTTAGCTGACATGAGTCAATAAAACAGTCACAAAGACAGTGACAAAGTCTTATATTTGAAATAACGACTACAAAGCATTTTCATATACATTTACTCAAACATTGCTGTCATAATCTACTAGAGGAAGGGAAAAGGGAATCCCTAAGGCACTGCAATACAAATATAATTTTACATGGTAAACATTATCAATGTAATAATCTAAAAATAATACTGAATTTTTGTAATATGATGTAATATAAAATAATGCAGTTACTTCTTCTTCTTATAGGGGATTTTTCTGAAAAATATTAACTCCTAACACCTAATAATAATATTCTTATTCCTGTGGTACACTATTAACTCTGATTTCTTTTCCACCACTTTTCTTGCCCAAATAATTCTCCTAGCCTCACTGAGACATTAACCTTTGGTGTGAACTCCAGTGTTCAGTAATCAACTTATGATCACTCCTGTAATTATCATCTACAAACTAAAAGATGAACTAATAAGAAAGACCTACATATCTGTATAGAAGTAAAAGATTAAAGAGTCAAGCCATATGTAAGTTTACCTCCGTTTCCTCCTTAATTTGTAGGGTCCTAAAACCAACAAAGAAATGAAGATGAAAAGATAAGAGCTGAATGCGCAGCTCTGGAAGAGGCGAGAGCTGTCATCAAAAATTTGGAGGATGGATACAGATGAATAAGTAGCAACAAAATGACTTAGAGAAAAGTACCTGTGGGTAACCAAACTAGGAAGCAAGCTGATCTGCAATAAGCCCTGGAAAGATAAGAATTAAAGAAGCCAGGCAGTTAAGAGGGCAGGAATACAGAGGAGGCTGAAAAGATGAGGAGTAACTGAAAGTCTGTCTAATGACTACAATTCCTTTGCCTTAATCCTTCACCACACAACTACCTCACACTCATCCTGGCAAAAAACTGAAGAGTTCACTTGTCAGAGTTTGAACCAGAAGGACTCTGAAAGGATACAATCAAAAGAAAGGGTGCATGCTAAAAATGGGAGATTGTCGAAAAAGCTATATAAAATAGATGTACTAGATAATGAAATCTCCTTTCTGTCACTTTCTAAGAACTCTGAATGCCAGATTTATTACCTGCAGGAAGGAAATGGATGGAGTTCTCTCTGTGAAAACTGGCCAGTCCAAGAAAAACGAAGCAGAGATACTGATAACCGATTATCCCCTGACAAAAAGTTAGTAAGTGTTCAATTCACCTACAACAACACCAGTCATCCAATAAGCTGCAATCTCACACACAGGTTCCAATTAGTTATTTAGTATTTTATTCTATAATATGAAGAATCATCAGGTATTAGGTAGAAATCACCAGCATGAAAGGTAGAGATAAAAAAAACATACACACACACACACAAAGGAGCTTGGGGTAAAAAGACAATGCCAGGAATAGAAAACTTAAAATAATGATAATTATTATCATTTATTACTTATTACTACTATTTATTATTTATTACTACTTCTACTACCACTTCCGCTACTACTACTACTTCTAGTATCCTCGGAGGCAGTACAGAAGATACTACAACAAGAACATGATGTCTTGAAATTAAGAACATGATGTTAATTCTCCCTAAATTAACAGGAAGAAAAGAAAAGAAAATTGAGGAAATCTACCACATAAATGAAAAACAAAAAACCCAAAGAGATTGAAAATGGAAGAAAAATGACCCAAAAATGAAAGGATCAACAGAAAGAAATATCTGAAATACAAAAGTTCTAGGAAGAGCTATTAAAACAAAATGGAGAAAATAATCAAAGAAATAATTCAAAAAGGTTTCCTCAAACTGAAGTACATGAGTTTCAAATTAAAAGGGTAAACCATGTATCCAGCACAGCAAATGAAAAAACAAGTATCAAGGCTAAAGAAAAGCTCCTAAAAGCTTCGGAGAGGAAAAAACAGAAGCATAAAAACAGAAAAAAATTAACATACAACATATAATTAGAATGGCATCAAACTTCTGTACAGAAACACTGGAAACAAGAAAACAACAGCACAATGCTTTTAAAATTCTGTAGGAAAATCATTTCCAACCTACAACTCTATTTATACACCCAAACTACCTTCATGTACGAAGGTAGAATAAAGATTCATTCAAACACAACAGATCTGAAAAAAGTTTAC